AGCTTTAATATTTTATATTACTAGGATCAACTTGGAATATATACCAACAGATTTGTTAGCTTATACACACACAAAACACACACACACACATATATCTATATATCTATATCTATCTATATATATATATATATATATATATATATATATATATATATATATATATATATAGAGAGAGAGAGAGAGAGAGAGAGATTGATATACATTGCTAAAAAATCTAATAAGCTTTTCTCGGAGTGTCTTCTCTTTCTAACACATTTTGAAGTTGATATTATTTTGTAATCTTATCTAAATACTTTATGTCAATAAAAAGTCTAAAATAGAAAATCAATAATTAAATTTGTGCAAATATCGTTGTTCAAACAGAAATTATTCAAATGTTTTTTTTTTCTTTCAGCTTCTTTCAGAATTTCTGGGATGAGTAGTTCAAATTATTTAGATTCATAATAAGATATCAATCTATGTTGTTACCACAACGTTATGGCGGCTGTGACCGCTGACCTTCTTCAGGTGTCTATGTGCATAACCTTCTTGGAATTTCAAATCGAACCCCTCAGATGATTTTTCTCTTACCGTTGTTTTTCCATAGGAACAATTCGCCTTGATTATTTCTCGCCCTGTTTTCAATAAGACTAAATGGGCACGAGCCAGAATAGCATTAGGTTTCGTTTCTTTTTTACGGCACATCAACACCTTAATGCCGACAATATTTTTAGGATAGTTCGTATGAATAGAATATGAATTCTTTGTTGCAAATCAGTTTGTAGATCAGGCTTGATTGACGAGGGTTTTTGTCGAGAGTCAAATGTATTGCTGGTGAAATCTTTTTATAGATCAGATTTCATTGACGTATTTTTATAAAGAGGGATTTCGTCGGGAGTTTTGTTTCATTGGTTTATTTATTTTGTTTTACGGCATATCAAACAACTCCTTGGGTTATTTAATGCCAGCAATGTTTTTTTAGGATAGATTCGTATGAATAGAATATAAATTCTTTGAGGAAAATCGGTTTATAGATCAGGTTTCATTGACGAGGGATTTTGTCGAGAATCAAATGTATTGCTGGTGATATTTTTTCTTCAAAACGTTATTGCTGGTATTTTTACTATAAAACAGTCTTTTTTACACATTCATAGTGTTTTGACGCAAGTTTGGGGGTTAAATATTTGACCATAGCTCGGACTAACAGGTGTTACCATCGCAATTAAAAGGTGGTTCCACTCTCTTCAAAACCTCCCGGTCAGAGGCTTTGCTGAGTGATGTAGTTTATAGTCATACCTAGGACGGTTAAAACAAGGTTTGAACTAACAATTACTACATCATACAATTCATAAACACTTAAATTCCCTAGAGACCGAAGAAGGCCATAGAATATAATGGCCGAAGCTCCAAAATACACAAATGAGAAGATTAGTCTGTGAAGGAATGGATAGTGGCTCAGAATAAGAATTCGGAAAGTAGACTTCGAATTTCATTACATTTACCTATGCGCAAATACCAATGTTAAATATGTGAATCCATCTCATATTCTCCCCTAGCTATGGGTTAAATACAAGGACAGACTGGAATCATTAGCCTTGGAGAAAGTCAACTCTGAATTCAAATCTACTTGCGGAGTGTCATTCGAATTGTGGTTCACTATGGACCTCAGTTCTCTGTTTATATTTCTTTCGAAAACGTCTGGATGATTCTGCACAGCCTTTCTCTTCTCTAATCAAAACATATGTTCTGTTTATCTGATTGGTTTTGGGTCAACCAGCGATATGTCAGTGGTCCTAGTTGAAAGAGTATTTGCTTTAGACAAGAATCGTGAAGCTTGGGCTTTTGCTTAAAATATCTCGGAGATGATAGCCAAATCATCTTGACACGTTGAAAGATTATTGCTTTTCTAGGTGGATTTTGGATTTGATCGATTCTTTCTTAACAGAAAACATGAACTGAAGGTTATCTTAAATGACCACTCTTCTCGATCTTTCTGCATAAATAAGCTTTTTTTTATCCCCCCAATGCTCTAGACTCGGACCTATTTTCTTCATTATTTTTATCAACAACTTTCCCGATAACATCAGCTCTTGTCTCGGTATCTATTATCTTTTATCTTAAGGGTAATTCTGATAGGTTCGATAATGTCAAATTGGGAGCTGATCTAGAAAATGACATTTAATCTAATGATAATTAGGGCAAGAGATGGTTTGTTAATTTTAACACGACCGAAATTAACTTTCTCTTTTTCAATCTTCTTAGTGGACATTTTTTCTTTTCCTCAACATGGCTGATGCTCACCCCCAAGGGGGATAACTCGTTGCACCTTCTCGTTCAAACGTTCTCCACCGACATAAAGTGAAACGACTATCTAGAATCAATTGCTCAGTAATTTTGCTATGAATGTTGGTTCATTTGCTAATTTTATTACTTGAAAATTCATACGTTTACCATTTTTTCGTGCATCGAATATTGTTGGCATATATGGTATTCCCAAGCAGTCGCCCATCTAGAGACTGAACAGGCTGCACGTTGCTTAACCACGGTGATCGTGAGCCTGTGTTTCAACATTATGTGGACTGTAAGTGTAGGCTTTCATGTACCTCAACATATTATTTTTGTTTATCTGAGACTTGCTATCGCTTCGTAGAAAATATATTGGAATGGGGTCCCTTAGCTTTTTCCACGATTCTCCTCTCTCTGACCGAGTGCAAACTAAGGCTAGAGGAACCAGTCGGTGGACCATTTGCGACTCGGATAATTGCGTACTAGATAATTGCGTCCCTTGACATTTGCGTTCCCAGACAAATGCGTACCTAGATGATGGCGTACCTCTGCTAATTTTTTGAAGTTACCTTTTTTTTTTTTAAGAGTTGTTTAATATAGAATTTTGCGGATCAATACCATTAATTAGTCTAAAAAAACCCCAGAAAAGTTGCCACCATAAATAATAAAAGAGAACCACAAACATCTAACAGATTCTGGATTTTATAGATCATATTTTTATTTGGAACCCATGGCTATGTTTCGAAAATCAAACACTGTAGGAAAAATATTTGTGAACGAGGAAAATTACAGCTACCAGTATCATCGATGAACCAAAAACGTGCTGGCGATTTGTAGAGCGATCTTCCAACACTGTTAACCTGTCATTGCATTTTAAACAAAAATAAACTTTTAATTATTTTATTTTATTCCTTTTATACCTTTTTTGAAAGAAATATGATTAATATCTATGTATTTTTTAAAGTCTATGGTAATTGCCTTTAAAAGCTTCAAAACATTATCAGAGGTACGCAATTATCCAGGTAGGCTTTTATTTAGGCACGCAATTACAGGTAATTGCGTAGTAGGCAAATGTCCAGTATGCAACTGTCCTAGAACCTAACCACCTCTGATTAATTAATGGAGGTTACGAAATTTCTTTATGCTTTTCCTTCGTAATATAGTCGCCACTTCTACCATCTTTGCTTCAATCACTAGCCTTCCTGTACCTTTTCTATAAATATTGGCGATTTATTCTTCTTTTTTACCTTCATTCATGTATTTTAGCGCAGTACTAGAATGGAAATTATTTCTCATAATATCACTGTTGAAAGTTCTAAATGCAACTGTTCTACAAAAGTTCAATAGTAATAGTTTCTTCCGTCGGATTTCTCTACGATATTCAAAGAATTAATCGCAATCATCACCTCTATCTTTTTTTTTTTTTAATCATATCTGTTTATTATCGTTTTTTATCACTTAAGATTTCTCAGGTTCTTTCAGCCACAGTAGTCCGTTCAGTTTTATTTCTTTTATTGCCTTGATTAGGATGAAATGATCTTTCTTAAAAGTACATCTTATTTATGTTTACTAGAAATAATTATTTGGCGACATAATACTTTATTTAACGCGTTATCATGGACCAAATAAATATAAGATATTTGATGATTTTTGTTTATATTATATATATATATATATATATATATATATATATATATATATATATATATATATATATATATATGTATGTATATATCCAAGTACAGGATTGGTGTATACAGAATAAATTCCAAAAAAAAAAAAAAACACTATTTTTAAAAGAGTGCTCAATACAGAGTAGAGCAAATATAATTATTTATTCGAAAATTGTAACATAAATATGTTATAAAATTACTTTAAAAAATAGCCATTTTTTCAACTCTTCTGATGTCTTATCAAGTAATGGTGTTGAATGACAGTTATCCATTGCTTTTTTATTATTTTTTTTTTCATCCGGCTTGATGCTAAGTTAAATATTATGCTATTAATTATGAGACTTTAGATTTTCAATTAGACTTTTTGTTTTTATTTTAATATATATATATATATATATGTGTGTGTGTGTGTGTGTGTGTGTGTGTGTGTGTGTGTGTGTGTGTGTGTGTATCTGTGTGTGTGTGTATGTGTGAGTGATAGTATAAAGTACACATAGTAAACGTTATAAATCTAAGATTTTTCATTAGTCTTTACCTCTTTTTGGCAACGAACTATAAGCTCTTATCAGCTACGAATTGGCTTACAATCTCACTTCGCACTGTATTTTTTGAGATACACAATATGGCTTTCACATCCCTTGGTCAGCCACCGATGTGTTTACGTTATTACTTTAAGTATCAGTCAAGATTTAGATAAGAAAGGCGTAGTTTAATCATTGACTTGTATAATGAATCTAATATTAATGCATGAGAGAGAATATATGCGTCTGCGTTTGTGTTTGCATATCCGAATTTATGTCTGGATATTTACAATTTCCTTTAGAAAAAGAAGCATTACAATTAGCAGAGTGAAACAATAAAAAACAAAACGGAAACTGTTTGAATGATATTCCCTCGAAAGCAGCAGATATATTTAAGAGAAAGTGATTAATTGTTTGTTGAATTTAAATGCAAACAGACTTTTGATTTTTGTATTGTTTCCTTTTATATTGGAAACGCTTAGCCGATATCTGATTATCGTTAAACGTTCTTAATTGTCACGAGATGTAAATGCAAGAAACCTTATGAAATAATACTTGATAGATAGATAGATATGGGCAGACATATATAGATATCAATATCTGTGTAGACGCTGCGTTTATTAATTAAACAGTATTTAATTTTTCGTTTAGCATGGCTAAATAAATAAAATACTGTTTAAAAATAAACGAAGCGTCTACTCAAATATGGGTAACCACTAAAAATAACACTCAAAATGATAAAAATATGTCGGGTTAACAAATAAAAATTGCATTACTTCTATATATATATATATATATATATATATATATATATATATATATATATATATATATATATATCATTGGATGTAATATGTTGTTTGCTGGTGCTATTTAATAAACTACGGATAGTTCTAGGAGGTAATATTGTAGTTTTAATTTTTAACACATTTAAATTATTGGAGATACGTTCGATCAAATGGTTATTTGGTAGAAAGATGCCACCAAAAGAATTATTATCAGGGGGAGCTGAAAGTGTACCTTTCACTGATGTAGTGGTAGTGGCCTTCAAGGTGTCATTTTGCGCTGATGAGTGAATTATCAACGCTTTATTTTTAGCTCCCAGTAATAATTGTCTTGGATACGAAAGATTTGAAAAGGTATCCTCAATATATCTGAATTCATCATCTAAATATTTTGCTGAACAGCGCAAAATGACACCTCGAAGGCCACTACAACTCTTCTTTTGGTCGCATCTTTCTACCAAATAACCATTTGACCGAACGTATCTCCAATAATTTAAATGCGTTAAAAATTAAAACTACAATATTACCTACTAGAACTATCCGTATTTGATTAAATAACACCAGCAACCAACATATTACATCCGATGCTTGCATCTACCAAATCTCATGCAATATATATATATATATATATATATATATATATATTAATGCATGTTTCATTAAATAATATAGATAAGTTTTGTCTATTTATTTTAAGTAAGTTCCTTTCATATTGTCTGATAAGCTTAATCACGTTATCGTTTAAAGAGGAAAGGAAAGCACCATAATGATACATGCTTAAATCCAATCTACGCTTTCGGCTTACTTAAACCATTATCAAAGATGACAATTTCAATAAATCAAACAACACACGGACGAAACAACAATGATAGTCCGCCCTTGCAGCATGAAAAAATTCAAAGTAACGACAAACTCGTATATCATATATATATATATATATATATATATATATATATATATATATATTTACACACACATTATTTTTGTAGATAGAAATTTTTAAGTAAATGTTCTGTTTATAATAAACAGTATTAACAGCATTTACCGGCCTTAATGTACGAGAAATTTCAGAGAAAATGTCTCCTTCGACAGTAATCGAATCTGTATCCTTCGTGGAACCGTGCTATACCATTTAGGTACAGAGGAAGTGTCTGTTTAGCGAAGTCATATTCCTTTTTTTAAACAAAAAATCCCCATGATTTTTCTCGAACATTATCATAAATAGACCATTTATTTAAGTATCTGTATTTATAAAAATAACGTATAAACAGAAAATGCATTTAAATATTTTTCGGACTTAACTATTTCATAACATATATATATATATATATATATATATATATATATATATATATATATATATATATATATATATATATGAAGAAATATAGTCTTAAGGTCTGCTATATTTATGGGATAAAGTGCTCGATATCAGAGATAGTGTGTGTAAATATAAAAGTGAACATAGAAGTCAACACTTAGAGGCGACAGTCTGTTTCATGCTATATGCAATCGTCAGGCCATATATAATATATATATTTAAATAAAAACAGACCACTTTAAGGTTCCATGTAATAAATTATTTCACCACAGCCCTTTTAAAAGGACTGCGGATCATCAGACTTTACTTCCAAACAAAAAAATGAAAAGAAAATTTACACATTTTTGACGGGCCGTATTAAACATATGTAAATTAATGAAGTGAGGAAGTGAGGGGGGAGAGAGAAGACATGAATGAGTTAGCAGATATTGACACATTTAAACGGTTAACTTAACGGAAGTTATATATTGAAATTTTGTTTAGAAATAAAGTCTGATGATCCGCAGTCCTTTTAAAAGGGCTGTGGTGAAATAATTTATTACATGGAACCTTAAAGTGGTCTGTTTTTTATTTAAATTACTTGCTCTACATTTACATTGAGCTCTCTGGATTATATCCCCCTTAGGTTTACCCATACGGCTTACCTAGTTTTTCATAAACTATATATATATATATATATATATATATATAGATAGATAGATAGATAGATAGATATGGAGAGAGAAAGACAGAGGATTAATATAAAAATGCTGAATATAAAATGGATGTTATATTCAGCAGTCCGACTCCAGAGTTTCGTAGACGAAAACTTTTTAATCATTCGGGTCACTCCTCAGGAGGTTTCCTCAATTCAGTACGAATTTTCTTGCTTTTTATTGGTATTACTATGATTTTTTTTTTCTATTTCTATTTGTATGTGTATGTGAATGTATGTGTATACGCGTATTTATGTTTGTATGTGTGTGTATTTGTTTATGTGTAGAACATTGTGATTATTTTTTACTTCATCATTTGCGTGTCACCTTATAATCTCACTCCTTTTTCTTTTCCTTCTTTTTTTTTTCTTTCTCTTTCGAACCTGGATGCCAAAGATAACTTAAGAATATTATTTCAAGTGTCACAGGTTTTTTTTCTTTCTTCGAGTAATTCATTCTCTGAAATATTCTTCATTTTGGGAAACTTTGCTGCATTCCGTTTTTATTTATCCCTTCTTTAAATATATATTTTTTAAATTAATGCTTAAATAGCAGAAAAAAAATTTGTTCATGATTTTACTTACTGATTATTTAATTTTTCTTAGCTAGCTGGTATCTTACGTAATAGATAGATAGATAGACAGATAGATAGATAGATGTGAACAGAGATATGTACAGACTGACATAGATAGATAGATAGATAGATAGATAGATAGATAGATAGATAGATAGATAGATAGGTACAGACTGAGATAGATAGATAGATAAATAGATAGATAGATACAGACTGAGATAGATAGATAGATATGAACAGAGGTAGATAGCTAGAGACTGAGATAGATAGATAGATAGATAGATAGATAGATAGATAGATAGATAGATAGATAGATAGGCAGGCACAGGGTGAGATAGATAGATAGATAGATAGATAGATAGATAGATAGATAGATAGATGTGAACAGAGATATGTACAGACTGACATAGATAGATAGATAGATAGATAGATAGATAGATAGATAGATAGATAGATAGATAGATAGATAGATAGATAGATAGGTACAGACTGAGATAGATAGATAGATAAATAGATAGATAGATACAGACTGAGATAGATAGATAGATATGAACAGAGGTAGATAGCTAGAGACTGAGATACATAGATAGATAGATAGATAGATAGATAGATAGATAGGCAGGCACAGGGTGAGATAGATAGATAGATAGATAGATAGATAGATAGATAGATAGATATGGACAGTCTGGGATAGATTGATACGATACGTGATAGATATATATATAAATGGCTTCGACCCGATCTCGCGCAATAACATCGGTTGATGTATACTCAAATATAGGAATGTGACCTTTTAGTTTTTCTTGGATCTCACATCGTCTTGCGCACATCTGTCAACTTTGCCATCTTTTGGAGCACTTGTTACATAAATGCCATGTGTGACGTCTTTGATGAGTTTTTAGGATCCTTCCTAATTAGGAAGACACTATCTCTTCCATGATACATTAGATCAAATTTTGTTGTAAAATTCAGGGAAATTAACATCGTGACCTTTAGCAATATCTCTCTTGAGTTTTCATGTGCAACATTTCTTCGTAGTTTGCTTTTCTCCAGGATTGTGTCTTTTCTCTACGTAAACCCGGCCATTTTGCATGAGTAGGCTTTTATAGAAACTGCTTAGGAACGGTGTCTTTCTTCATCCTGTTCATATGACCAATCTATCACAACGGGTACGAAGTTCCAGAAACTATAATAGTATATTGACGCTTTCAAGGAAATAAAGGAATATCTACCGCCGGTTATCATTTATATAGACGCTGTCTATATAAGACACTGTAGTGAAAATCGCTTTCTCATGTGTATCAGGTGTGTGGCAAAGGTTTCATTTTCATGCAAGAATGAACACAAAACTAATATATTGTAAACTTTTAACTTACTTTCAATCACAATTTCATTCATTTCCCTGAAAACATTGTTGGTTTTCTTGATTCCGACGATGATATGATCATCCAGACGATTTGTTCTTATTTATATTCTTGCCTAAATGCACGCACATTTCACACATGCAATTTCTGGCCATAATCATAAATACTTGTTATATCTTGCTTAACACCGCTTACAACTAACATCGTATCAAAGGTCGTACCACCTACGATGATATGTGCTTCATTCCTCCTCAAAAAACCTATATATTTAAAAGAAAAAAAATCCACGCTTCTTCCGAATCTTCTATAAGGCATTTCTATACACACTATCAAATGCCTTTAGATCAATGAAGACTTGATATAGGTCCGTCTTCTAATTACATTATTCTGACTATTGCCCTCATCTTTGTCGCCATATTTATTACAACGTTTTGGCCGTTGTATGCTCCGGCCTTCTTCAGGTGGTTGGAATGTCTAACTGAACCCTTTATTTCGCTCACTGGGGTAGACTATTCTAGTTCCCTGTGCCATGTTGGAAAATTCTTAAACTTAAGTAATCAGCACATATGCTAAGCCAGAAAAATCTCCTGAGCTGACCAAGCATATAAATGAATGCAATATGGGAACCAGTAATAAGGAGTGTCAGAGAAAAATGATAATAATAACAAAAATTGCAATATGAGCTTTGGTAATAACATGAATGATAACAGCAAAAATTGCAATATGAGCACTGGTAAAAATGCTTGCTGACGACATTAGGTTTACAATACCCTGAAATTCATACACAGATGTCCTCAAGGACACATGGCACAGTGGATAAAGGCATTAGTTAGATGCAATGAAAGGATCCAATGAGTGTGAGTTCAATACTCGGTTAATGCTGTGGAGAACTTGGAGAGGGGAATTAGCAGGAGATAACTGATAACTGACATCCATTAAACATGTGGAACTAGAACAGTCTACCCCAGTGAGCGAAATAAAGGGTTCAGTTCGAACCTGAAGAAAGCCGGAGCGTACAACTGCCGAAACGTTGTGATAAATATGGCGGCCGTTGTGGATTCCGAGATGAAATTCGGTCTACAATGAATTACAAACGCAAGAATTAGATATAAGAAATAAAATGTATTTACACAATACTACAAAGGGTAATACTGTTAGTAAATCCAGGAACGCGGTTAGTAGCAATAACAGATAGCAATAACACTATTACTCTACCTCCAACTCAATCACCATGCCTATCTCCGTTCTGACTCTGGGTATTTAACGGCAGCAGTCCAAGTAACACTTTGGTAGAGTCCACTTATAGGAAAAAGGGGAGGACCCCATAACAGCGACAAAGATGAGGACAATAGTCCGAATAATGTAAATAGTCTACATAATACCATATCTCAGAAATATAGACAGATACAGGTCTATCTTGTGCTCAATGTGTTCATACTGCAATTGTTTTAATGAAAAGATCTCCCCGCCCTGTCATGTGTCATACATACTGTGATTGTGAAATTACTATATTAGCGATCTTGTTGAGAAGTCTCTTCAGCAGGATTAAATATACATACATAAACAAAGATGTATTCAAAAATTATCTACCAATATACACGGACAGATATATATATATATATATATATATATATATATATATATATATATATACATATATATATATATATATATATATATATATATATATATATATATATTGTGTGTGTGTGTATTTAGGCAGCATTTTTTTATTCATACATGTTTCATTTAATAATATAAACAAGTGTTGTCTATTTATTTTATTATAAATATCTTTTCATAACGTCTTATAAAGTTAATAACATTATAATTAAACGAAGAAAGAAAATCACAATATTGATACATATTTTTTAATCCAATCTAAGCTTTTGGCTTACATAAAACATTATCAAAGATGACAATTACAGTACAATATATGATGCATTACACGGACAAGTATGTGATGATAGTCTGTTTCTGTTTACTTGGATGATTTCCAAGCAACGATAAACACGTGCATATGATTTTGTGATTGTCTTTCTTCGTTTAATGATAATGTTATTAAGCTTATCAGACGTTATGAAAAGAATTTACATAAAATAAATATACAACACTTGTCTATATTTTTTAATGAAACATATATATATATATATATATATATATATATATATATATATAAACTTAGCTTCATCAGGCAGAAGATCACGCAGATTAATCATCCACTCTCATTATACGCATATATTTGTCATTTTTAGCCCCAGTAAATTAAATTCGAGTTTTATATTAAGAAAAACAAAACAAAAAAAAAGACGTTTAAATTGCATCTCCTTATTAATCCAGGAATTACTTAGATCGACATATTTTTCTCCCCCAAACCGTTGCATAACGAAATTTCCGATTTTATATTGGCATCACTTCTCAGGTAAGTCGAGAAATCAGTAGTACACATTTAGATCCCTGAGCCGCTGAGATGCGCGTGCTGTGGCCTCGGTTGTCAATGAATGTCCGGTGTAGGTGTTTCTTGTTCACGTTAACTGTCGCATCAACTATGACAAATATGGACCCCGGCATTTCCAGGCGGATGGTTGCTGCTTCTCCTGGCCACAGATTACATGTTCCCGCCTCTAGTATTTTCATGACATGCTAAATTTCAGGAACCTATCTCTAAATCGTTGTCGTTGGCAGCTGGTGCCAACAGCAAGTTATGTCTTTTTACATACAGTCTACAATATTGATGTTCCCGATACGTCTAAAAAAAGAAACGAGAATATTTCACGTTGGATCATGGCGCACAACATTATGTTACACTTTATTCTGGTTGCATTCCGCTTTAAATATGTCCCGAAAATATAAGGCGTACCCTGTATAGATCAATGCCAAGTTTTATTAGACAAATCGATATTCACACAATAAAATTGGTTAGGACCAAGGAAGAACAACACGAACGCAAGAGTAGAAATAACGAAGGTATATTACACAAAATAATAATAGAAAGATGTGGAAATTGTTAGTATGACTGTCAGTCTGGTTTGGAGTGAACTGCTATCAGCTCGACTCGATTCGGTATCTAGACACACCCACCCACGAGGCTTGCATGTGGCACAAGGCCGAGTTTTACGTGGGTTTCCCGAGCCCGTAGGCTTGGCCAAAAAATGCCCGTAGAAACTGTAAAAACAGAATCGGGTTGGTGAACATCCCCGAACAATGCTCTGCCCTTCGGCGGAGACTCGTCCGGGTTCCTCTCTGCTCAGAGGCAGAGAGTTCGACCGTCAAGCTCGGATTTATTCGGTATCTAGACCCACCCCACGATGGTTGCATGTGGCACAAGGCCGAGTTTAACGTGGGTTTCCCGAGCCCATAGTTCGACCGTCAAGCCGAGCAGCTCGACTTGATTCGACTTTTAACCCACGTTAAACTCGACCTTGTGCCACATGCAACTCTCCTTGGCTAGATACCGAATCGAGCCGAGCTTCATGGTCGAACTACCTTCCTCTGATGAGAGAGGAACCCGGACGAGGCTCCGCCAAAGGGCAGAGTCTCGTTCGAGGAGGTTGACCAAACTGATCCCGTTTATACGGGTTCGACGGGCATTTTTTGGCCGAGCCTACGGGCTCAAGAAACCCACGTTAAACTCGGCCTTGTGCCACATGCAACTCTCGTGGCGGGGTAGCTAGATACCGAATCGAGCCGAGCTTCTCGGCATGAAGGTCGGACTCTCTGCCTCTGAGCAGAGAGGAATCCACCGAAGGGCAGAGTCTCGTTCGGGGAGGTTGACCAACCCGATTCTGTTTTTACAGATTCTTCAGGCATTTTTTGGCCCAGCCTACGGGCTCGGAAAACCCACGTAAAACTCAGCCTTGTACCACATTTTTCCCTCGGGGGTGGGGGGTGGGGGGGTCAAGTAAATATCAAATCGAATCGAGCCGATAGTAGTTCACTCCAAACCAGCCTGACAGTCATACTAACACCTTCCACATTATTATTATTTCGTGTAATATACCTTCGTTATTTCTACTCTTGTGTTCGTGTTGTTCTTCCTTGGTCCTAACCTGGACCATAGCAACCTGTCTCTAAGACTTTAATTGTTAGCAGGATGAACCCTGACATCCTCTAACTAATTTATCAATATTTTATTAAGATACCACCATTTGAAATCCATTCTTATAGAAATGAACGTTGTGGTTTGAGTCATAAATAATTGCCAGTTTTGTTTGTCAATGTTTTTTTTTTAAACAAAGACCAATTATATTTTATTCAATTATATATTCACCATTATTTGCAATGACTTGTTGGCACTTATCAGACAGCTCTTCGGTGCGTT